ACCTTCCTTTTCTAACTCGATGGTGAATTTCTTCTTCCCACATATCCTGTTCATCAAACCAATAGAATTCTCGAGGTTTCTTTTACCATGCTGCCAAACAGTAAAGTAGCCTTCCATAATACGAACTCATAATTTATGTTGTTGAGCTTACTTCCATTTCGAGTAAGGTGTTTAATAAAGAGATTCGAAGATCGTTTCCACTAGAAGCCAAAGGCGGATTCCTCTTGACCAGCTGTAGATTGGCTTTACTAGAACATGTTGACGCCGTTTTCGAGCTAATCTTCTTCGATTCCTGACAAAAGGTGCTAAGCTTTTGTCCGTCCTATGACGAACATCATCAGAACAAATATCATCTTCACAACGAAATTCAAGCTAACGACTCAAGAAAATTCACAGACAAATCCCTTAAAAAGCGGTATATATACTCTATATCTGGCCTCTGTGATCAGGTATAAAGTGATTTGGTTAGTTACGTTCATATGTCAACCTCGAAGCCTGTGAGTGTCTGTTTCTCAAGCACATACACAGGCAGAGACAGACATACGCACATGTTTCGAGGTTGATACATGACCGTAACTAACCAAATCACTTTATACCTGATCAAAGAGGCCAGCTTTAGAGTATATATACCGCTTTTTAGGGATTTGCCGGTGAGTTTTCTTGACTCGTTGGCTTGAATTTGGTTGTGACGATGATACCTTGCTTTGATGATGTTCGTCATATGACGGACAAAAGCTTAGCACCTTTTCTCCGGAATCAAAGGATTTTACTATGGAAACAGCGTCAGCATGAATGTTCCTGCAAAGCCAATCGACAGCTGGTCTGATGGAATCGATCTTCGAACCTCTTCACCAAGAACTTTCACTCGAAATGGAAGTAAGCACAACAGTTATGAAACAAGAGATTTCTCGAAACCCAACTTTTCTTTGCATAATAATTTAGAGACTATAAGTGCTTCTTGAATTAAGGTCTCCTCAAACTGAGCCATGTAATTATTTGCTAAAATTGATGAAAAACACGATCCCATAGCTAAGCATCGAGTTTGTTCTTATATTTTACTATTAAAGGTACAATATGTATAGGGCTATCAATCATAATAATATGATCAATAATACAAAATCTAGAAACAAGCCTACGAGATAAACATAATTTCAAAATAACCAATATAGTTAGAAGTTGCTTGACCTTATTTTCGCAACTTGGTCATATAAGTAGAAAGACTTAGAGGCACATATCTAGTTCGGAGTCCATAGTACGAATGATAACTTCCAGAATTGGACCTTGAACGTGCTACATTACCAGACGTTTCGCCGGCATCATCAGTGAGCATTGCCAACATCAAACTACAACTCGTCAAAGAGCCAATTGTCTGCTAGACAATTGTGGTATCTCTCCTTCTTCACTAGGCTATTCACCAATCCTATACTCCTATCACAATTTTTTAATTGTTTATTTAAATGTGGCATGGTGTGCCCTTTTGACGGGATTTCATGAGAATTCTTCACACTCCACACTGGCTTTTTCAACCCCTCACTTCCCTTCGCCCTTGTGCCGGGGATGCTGATCAGAGTCTGCCATATTGTTACGCAATCCTTCTTCCATATGTCTTATCATAGTCTCCCTCTTGCCTCAAAGGATCCGTCTGCTATCTTCCTGGTTCAAGTATTTCACTCGACCTCTGTCACCCCATCTGTGCTACTCGAGGCGTTATTTCCCACAATCTGCCTCTGGGATAGTAATTTGGGACTAAAGCCCCTTAGTAATTCTCATGGTCAAGCCTTTGCTTCATTGGCTTCGTTTATAGTAAAACAAGCCTATTGTCAGCCAACTAGCTCTAGCCTCCGCCACGTCTATCCTGTTTCTTTTGGTAATACCAAGTCTATGACTTTTTATGCCCTAGTCTTTTGTGTGAAAACCCACAAATAGTGTGGTACTGCTTGCTCTGATTGGTTTCAAAGTAGATCCACAACGTTTGTGGGCTGGCACACAATAGACTAGGACATAACAAGTCATACACATAGTATTACGTTAGAAACAGGGTAAACGCGGCCATACAAAATGCCACACCATCCTGGTCTTCATAGCTTCGACAAAATATGAGATGCTTAATTAATTGCACCAAATTAGAATATAAGTAGTAGGTAAGTTTGAAGCCGTCCATCTTACTTGTCTTCGTGTTTTGATCAATCATCGTAGAGCGAGGTGTCCTTCTCTGACGTAACGGACAAAAGTTTAGCAATATTTATCGAGGTCGCAGTCAAATGCGCAGAGTAATTTTTCACACGACTCCAAGGCAGCTTCCCAATAGCTTCCGATGAGACCAAATTACGAATCCCTTTCAATCGCCTCTTCAAACTAAATGAAATGTATTTCAACATCAATAAATTAAGGGATTTTGCGAAACCCAGTTTTTCTACACACCTACTTCATATGGCCAATCTAGCTATCTACACCATTCTGCGCTCTCGTATCCTCCAATATAGCCTAATGGTGTGTCGTTTCAGATGGATTTAGTGAATTATAATCACCTTCACCACCGGTTTCAGATGCTGATCGTATGTTGAACCGAAGATCAGTCAAGAGGATTGCTTTTACTCGTCACTGGTGAGTTGTAACTCTGTTTTGAGGATGGCGCTTCTCATTGACGATCCTGGCAAAATGTCTGGGAATGTGCTAAGTTAAGAGTCCCATAGTGGAATTCATGAATACTATGGCAGAGGACGCAGGACTAGTTACGTTCCGCAAGGTCTCCCTGTCACTCTGAACAAGTTGCAAATTCGAGGACTAGTGAGCACAAAACAGCTAAAGGAGACTGCTACCAAACAAAGAGTCACAAATTATAGGATGTTTCTTTATAATCACAGGGTTTGGTACATGAGGTAGCCTCAATTGCAGCTGGCCGTCCTGTATCTTGGCTTGTCGTATTTGGTACGTTTTTTTATATGATGGCTTTTTTCTCTGAATGCGTCACATTATAGACTAAACTTAGCTTAGATCGATCGGAATCGTAGAACTGTGAGCCAATGACTTCCTTGCGCAATCCAACGATCTCCACTTCGAGGCGACCCTGCTTCAGTTTGTAGTGAGGCTATTTAACGAATCCCTTTAATCAACTTTTCCTTTGACATATATTTAATTTCTTTGCCCCTTTTATAGCCATACAAACGTTATTTTCTCTTTCCTCCCGATTAATCTGTATCATTTTCCCTTTATATAGGTTGATTTAAAGCTCACTTTGGGCTTTAGCGGTATACTTATTGTACTTGCATCTGTTTCTTCTGCAATCGGGATTTGGAGTTACGCTGGCTGGCCTGCTAGTATGATCATCATTGAAGTGATCCCCTTTTTGGTACTAGCTATCGGCGTGGACAATATCTTCATAATCGTGCAGCACTTTGAATTTGACCATAGCCATACCAAATCCATACTAACGCCATCACATTCTTCAGATCAGCACCTAGGTATGACAGATTCTACTGGCCTCGGCTCTTATTCAGACCAGCAGGCTGTTTCCGGAAAAGAGCTCTCAGTGACCAAGACTTGCTCAAATAGTGAGGTTGCTCTGTCCTCGTCCTCTGCTTTGGACGGGCCTCCCCTGCCAACTTCAATGGTGCATGGACAATCGGAAGGTGAACTCTTGCTATTTCGTCAGAAACAGAATGACATAAATCGAGCTGTACAGGCCAGAGTTGCGCATACCCTTGCCCAAGTGGGACCTTCCATGCTACTATGTAGCCTGTCCGAGTGTGTCGCCTTCTTTTTAGGCAAGTCAGTTATTTAATGCCCTGTATTATGGCTGAAACGCCATATTCATATACTTGGCTTTGATCCTAAATTTAAATTACTTATCCATGGGTTGTGTCCTATGCTTAAGCTTGTGTTTAGAATTATTCATATGCTCAACAAAACTTTATTAACAGTAGGTCGTTTAAGGTGTTGAAGGATTGACAGAATTTTTCTGCAATGATTTAAGTAGGCCTCACTCTTCCATTAAATTTCGCGTAACATTACTTGTCAAAACGGTATTCACATCCAAAGTGGACCACAGTTTCAACTTCTCCCAATAAGTATCATCAGGTTCGGAAACTGCAATATAGTATGGGCAGTATACCGTATTATTTTTACATTTTTACTTCCGTCACTTCCAAGAGTGCCAGTCGGTCACAAGGTTTAAGTGAATTTTAAGGAAAGCTAGTACCCTTACATATCTCATTTTCATTGTAGGATTGTTGCTGCAGAAAGTATTTATATGTCATTATTGCTGACAACAATACTTGTACACATTTTTGACTAGGATTTTGAGAGTTACAATTTCGATACG